GCTGGCTGTCAAATGCCGAAGGACTGACTGCTTTCACAACATTTTTTACTATTAGGACCAGCAAGAAGGAATATCTGGAGATGCTCAGAGCCGTCAAGATTTTATCAATGGATTTCAGACGCCTTTTTCTGATCCCGTCAACACAAATCACTAGAAGAGTAAATACATTCAGTATCATCCCAATGACAGCTTCAACGAAGAAAATTAGGTAGACTAGGAATGAAAGTAGGAAGCTTTCTTGTTTTGTAGAGCTGCATGAAGCAGTTGCCATTTCTCCAGATATCCTGTGTAAAAGGTAGTCGTTTATGGGGCTTGGTTGGCACTTGTTTTATCAGCTATGAAAATAGGTAACACCATATCTATTTCATCTTGATTTGCATTCTGTCATTAGGATACAGGAAGGCCAGCAATTTTGCTGAAAGGGTGTTATAAAAGGAAACAGTATTTCAAATCACACTTTCATTACCACAGTGAACGAGTAACTAAAGCAAAAGGATCTGGATTTAAGATCACATTCCAATAATTTAGAAACCTTATCTCACACTGATTTTGGAAAATGATAAACTTTTACAAATCTAGAAGAATTTTTTGTTACTGTTGGGTAGTTCAGAATAGGTCCTAACCATGAAAAGCATAATAATATATACCTTCAAAGAGTGTATGAAACATGGTGCTCACATGAACAACCAAAGCTATGTAAGATTTATCTGAACAAGACTATTATTTAGTCAGGCAAGAACACAATAAATAAAAATTATATAGCTAGCATGTTATTCACAGAATCATAGAAAAGTGAAGTTGGAAGGGGCCTACAAGGCCATCAAGTCCAACCCCCTGCTCAATGCAGGAATACAATCAAAGCACATCTGCCAGGCGATTATCTACATTTCTCTTGAATGCCTCCAGTGTTGGAGCACTCACCAACTCCCGAGGTAACTGGTACCACTGCCATTCAGAGCATAAGAAAAATTGTGAGGGCTTTTGCCGGCTCCAGGAGACCCTCCCTGGTTGTGTAACCAATAACACAGCTGACTGTGCAACTGATCTTGCAACCAATGCAAGATTGGGTATGCAACATGAGACTGTTGATGCAGGGAGAATGCTTACATGATTGCCCTTCCAAGATTGTGTAGCATAACAAAACAGGATACTGGCTAAAGTTTATAACTGCATTAAGGTAAGAGAAACAGTATATGCATTATTTCCTTGTTGTTTGTTTGTTTACCATCCCATTAGCACAAGCAACTACTCTGGGCAGATTTCAAGACAGAAGCTTAAAACTCTCTGTGACACGCCCCTCATGTGTCCCCAAGTTGTTTCACTAGCCTAAGGCCCACGACACGTTCTCTCCTTTCTGTTGCCACCAGTTGACCTCTGTCAACACCCTTTAATTAGAAAGATTGAGGTCCAAAAGTTGAACAACACAGGTTTATTGATTACAGTTCACTTAAACAGGTTCTTCATTGACTTTAATGTATTCATTAGATTAGTAATAACTTGTTTCCCTTTTAACTCTCTTAGCTCTCTATAAGTTCCACCCTCTTAACTCCTAACTCTGCCACACTCTCTAACTATCACAGACTAAGTTCTACCTCAGATTCTCATCTCTGTGACTGACTGAACTCCTCTAGACTCTGACTCACCCCTCCCTTCTAGTTTCTCTGGCTCCGCCTCCCAACAACTCCCATAGGTACATGGAAATAACCTACTACATGAGCCAAGGCAGAGTGATTGCCACACGCTCAAAACTTCACAGTAAGAAAAACGTGCATTCAAAAACAATAAGGCCGTACACCGCTTGTTGTTATATGCTGTCAAGTTCTGACTTAGGGCAGCCTGATGAATGAGCAATCTCTAAAATGTCCTGCCCTCAGTTACCCTGCTCAGCTCTTACAGACTTAAGCTTGTGGTTTCTTTTAGGGAATCAATCCATCTCATATTTGATCTTCCTCTTTTCTTGCTGCCTTCCACCTTTCCCAACATTATTGTCTTTTCCAGAGAATCCTGCCTTCTCATGAATTGCCCAGACATTGACAGCCTCAATTTTTATCTCCTTGCTTAATTTGATCTAGGACCCATTTCTTTGTCCTTCTGGCAGTCAGTGGTATCCACGTGATCGTCATCGTTGTTTAGTCGTGTTTGACTCTTCGTGACCCCATGGACCAGAGCACGCCAGGCCCTCCTGTCTTCCACTGCCTCCCGGAATTGTGTCAAATTCATTCTGGTAGCTTCGATGACACTGTCCAAGTATCTCATCCTCTGTCGTCCCCTTCTCCTTTTGCCTTTACACTTTCCCAGTATCAGTGTCTTTTCCAGGGAGTCTTCTCTTCCTCATGAGATGGCCAAAGTATTGGAGCCTCAGCTTCAGGATCTGTCCTTCCAGTGAGCACTCAGGGTTGATTTCCTTGTTCTTCTTGCAGTCCAGGGGACTCGTGATACACAGACAGTAATTTTAAACGGATTGGGTTTTAAATGGATTGTTGTGCTCTCTTGTTTTAAATGTGTCTTAATACTGATTTTATTTACCATTTTAATATAATGCATGTTTAATTCTTTTTCAATATTTTTATACTTACTGTTTTAAGCTTTTAATTACTGTTTTTTAGTGACGTGAGCTGCCTTGGGTCCCTTTAAGGAGAAAGGCAGGATTAAAATACTTTAAACAAACAAACAAAAACAACCCAATAAAATTTAAAACTACATTAGTTTAAAAAATTGACAGCATCCAGTTTATGAGGATGTCCCTTTGGTGTTAACAAAGCTTGGACTGTCTTCCTGCTTCCCCCACCGTAATAAGGACAAAGTTAAAATATCAATTCACTCTGTATATTTGTTATGATATTATTTCCTGCAAGTCAATACTGGGATGTTTCCATTACATCAGTGGCTCCCAACATTGGGAGCCCAGATGTTCTTGGACTGTGGCTCCCAGAAATCCTGGCAAGCACAGAGAGTGGTGAAAGTGTCTGGGAATTTTAGCCCAAGAACATCTGGGGACCCAAGGTTGGAACAACTGCATTGGTCTTTCCTGTCTCTTTGCTGGATCTCTGTAATGGTCAGGCCGGCCACATTCCAGTTACCCAAATCTGAGTGGCCTAATTGTTCATATTTTATTTATTATTCAAGTTAAACCTGTCAATCATTGCTTTGTTTTTCAAAAACATTGCTTTGTTTTTGGCATCACATATGCAATAGCCATTTATCTAAGAGGGGTCGTGTAGCAATGTATTGAGTGCTAAAATTAGAACAGAGAGACTCAAGTTCAAATCCTGAATTCATTTTTAAGCTTACTGGCTGAGGTCACATTGAGTCCAATGACCACCATATGGCAAAATCTACCCTACAGTGTTGGTAGGGGAAAAATACGGGGGGGACTATATAAAATGGTTATGCATGCTACTGTTGGAAGTATGACATTTTGTTACAGATAGTCACTGCTAATGGTATGCAAGCTATGGATTTCCTGCTTAGACTAGGGGTTGGACTCCATCATCCTTAGTGTCCCTTCCTAAACAATAGGATTGCAAATGTAGCCAAGCAATAGGATTCAGTGGCTTAAATTATATGGTCTAGGCATGTTTACATATGGCTGTATATTGTCCCCTGTCTTATTTAACTTATATGCAGAATACATCATGCAAAAGGCGGGACTGGAGGAATCCCAAACTGAAATTAAGATTGCTGGAAGAAATATCAATAACCTCCGATATGCAGATGATACCGCTCTGATGGCAGAAAGTGAGGAGAAATTAAAGAACCTCTTAATGAGGGTGAAAGAGGAGAGTGCAAAAATTGTCTGAATCTCAACATAAAAAAAAGATCATGGCCACTGGTCCCATCACCTCCTGGGAAATTGAAGGGGAAGATATGGAGGGAGTTACTTTCTTGGCCTCCAGGATCACTGCAGATGGTGACAGCAGCCATGAAATTAAAAGATGCCTGCTTCTTGGGAGGAAAGCAATGACAAACCTCGACAGCATCTTAAAAAGCAGAGACATCACATTGCCAACAAAAGTCCATATAGTCAAAGCTATGGTTTTTCCAGTAGTGATGTATGGAAGTGAGAGCTGGAGCATAAAGAAAGCTGACTGCCGAAGAATGGATGCTTTGGAATTGTGGTGCTGGAGGAGGCTCTTGAGAGTTCCCTGGACTGCAAGGAGAACAAACCTATCCGTTCTGAAGGAAATCAACCCTGAGTGCTCACTGGAAGGACAGATCCTGAAGCTGAGGCTCCAATACTTTGGCCATCTCATGAGGAAGAGAAGACTCCCTGGAAAAGACACTGATACTGGGAAAGTGTGAGGACAACATGGTTGGAGAGTGTCATCAAAGCTACCAAATGAATTTGACCCATCTCGGGGAGGCAATGGAAGACAGGAGGGCCTGGCGTGCTCTGGTTCATGGGGTCACAAAGAGTCAGATACAACTAAACGACTCAACAAAAAAAGGTATATTTGTATAACCCAATGTTATGCAAACGCTGTTCATGAAGCACTTCCATAGGCACATTGCACACCTGCTCATGAAGGGAACTGCATAACTGATTGTACAATCAAATTGCACTATACTTGTTGGCCGGATAGCAAATTTACACTTGCGTAACTTTATGCTACATAGTAACAGGATTCTGGACTATGATTCTACAAGGCTGACAAAAAACGTTTGTGGCTTATGGTTCTTGTTGCTGTTTATTTTGCACCCTAGAAGACCAAGGGGGCTGAGCTTGCAATTATTTGGGGAGCGGGGATAGATGGAATTTATTCTCACTTAAAAGGCCTGTGGCATCTGAGTCATTCATACCAAGTCTGTTTCCAGAGGCTGAGACAGTAAAGATAAGGGGACAAAATACCAACATATTGCGCAGCAAATATATAAGAATGTGAGTAGATTGCTAAGCACTTTGATCTAATTCATACTAATATTTCCTGATGCAGTTGAATTTGAAATAATGCCAGCCTTCTTAATGCATAATTTGTATGTGGCGTACCAAGGGTGGCCATATGTCCTACCTTAGTGAAGACGGTCCTCCATTTGAAGAGCTGCCCTTCTTTTTGGTGGTGAATGTCCTTCTTCCTGATGATGTGCAAATGGCCACCCTACAACCCAGTGAGATTCCCTGGCCAGGCATGGAAAGCAGAAGCTTTGATTGGTAAATGGATCTAATTAGCCTTCTCTGATTTTTGTAAGTAAAATGATTCAAGGGGAGGGCCTAGAAATGCAAACTCTAGCTTTCTTTAACCATCTAGCTTTCTCTTGAACACCTCCAGTTTTGGACAGCTCACTATGTTCTGAAGTAATTGGTCCCCTTGTTATTTTTGCTCTAATAACTAGGGTTTTTTCCCCTTGATATTCAACTGAAATCTGGGTTCCTGTAACTTGAGCCTGTTGTTATGTATCCTGCACTCTGGGATGAATTGAGAAAAGATTCTGCCTCTCTCCTATATAATAATCTTTCAGTTATTTGGGGTGCTGTCCTATCTCCCTTCAGTCTTCTTTTCTCACTGCCAAATATGCCATGTTTCTCCAGTCCCAGGCCAACTAGCATTTTGACAAGACTTCACCGGTGGAATCAAATTGTTAAGCAGGGAGAGATTGCAGCGCCTTACTAGCACTAGATTTCTTCATTTGTGGTATGCTTCCATTTCCTCAGAAAACGTCTCTATTCACTTTCAGCACAACATGCATAATTTGATAAATCTTTATTTCTCCTCCCTTGCCCACTTTACTCCCCTATTTCTCCCACTAGACTAAGAAGCCCCCAAATCTTGTTAACATTTCCTTGGTGAGGAATTATTCCAGCCCCCTTGCCATTTTGATTGCACCGTTTCTGAACTTTCCATAAAAATAGTTTTCCCCCTGCGTTGCAGCAACTCAGACCATACATATCATTCTGGTATTGTCAATAAATTGTATATGGAAACCACACTTTGTACTAGATGAATTATTTCAAGTAAGTGACATTAATGTTTTCTCAGTGTTCCATTTAGCTGCACCATGTATGCAAATGTGGAGAATATCCAGTTACAGAGTCAGCTGTGTCTTTTGCCTATGTTTGCATTTGAATAGTGGAAGGAACATAGTATTAGCTCTGGATAAGTTTTCAGTGTTTTTCAATCCTCATCTAGGAGAGTCAAATGGGGCAACCATCTGAAATAACCATAGTGAATAGTGCAGCCAAGACAACACCAGCTGCCATTCTAGATTTGTATGGCTTCTCTCATGATAGCTCTCCCCTGTTATTATTTATGCATTGCAAATGCACAAAAACAAACACCGCACAGAAGGCTGCACACTGATGTTGCAGTATAAAAACACCACAGCATGGTGCAACTACTTCTACTAACTAATGTGTTCTTGCCTGAAAAGGCTTGCAATCCAAACTATAACTCTGAAAAAGAATATTTGAAAATTACCGTATTTTTCGCACCATAAGACGCACTTGCTTCCCACAAAACAGGGGGGTGGAAAGTCTCTGCGTCTTATGGAGCGAAGAAAACAGATTATATTTTGCTGTTTTCTTCTCCTAAAAAATTGGTGCGTCTTATGGAAAGGTGTAACTCTGAAAAAGAATATTTGAAAATTTCTAAAAGGCATGCCTACATGAAATTGCAGTCAATTCATAAGCCATAATTTATTTTCAAAGGGATTAGATATTCAGAATTTCATGTTTAAATATCAACTCTTCTTTATGATACCCACATGGGCTAATCAAGTCCTGTAACAGCAATCATTATCACACTTTTATCTGCTGATACCAGATAGCATGATATCAGGAACAGTATTCTTAAGAGATAAATATGGTCAAAGTCCACTTGCATGTATTAAAAAAATAAAAGAGCTTTACCCATGGATCTTTTTTCAAAAAATGGACCCATGTACATCTTCATGTGTTCACATGTTATGTTTGAAGGTGGTGGTTTAGGACCTATTAAGGTTACTTCCTGTTGTTTCAAGCTACAAATAGCCAAGTTAACAGATGTGCTGTACAATCTTGTAATCTTGTAATAATGTAAAAAAAAAAACTGTACTTGCTTACAACTTACCCAAATTGTTCTTTGGTCTTCAGATGCAAATATATGTATGGAAAAGTGGATAAGAGATAAAGTTGATAGTGGGAGGAACATTTGAGGAACAGGGGAAAGCTTAAACATTACTTCATGATTGATAGCTGTGTTCATGACTACCACCACCACCCATTACTGAATACAAAGTCCAGCATTTTATACTGCATTTTATTTCTGTGGTATCCTCATACATTTGCAGCCACAACTCTGAAATGGTTTCCTTTGACCTCCTGTGTCTTGCAGCATTTGTGATCACTTCATCTACCTTTGTGGTATGCTACTCTAATGGATATTTCCTGGTTTAATATAAGACCAAGATTTAATTTTGCATGTCTGGGTTTTTAAAAAGCATCTTTTTGCCTTACAGATCAGGAAGACAGACAATTATGAAGGTACATCAATTAAAAGACTGTGAAAGGGATAGCCGTCTTGAGGCAGGACACACAAAGGCTGTAACCATATTTATCTAGAAGTACACATTTTTATATGAATGTTACTGCTTATCTATTCAACAGCATACGCAGATGAAGGAAAACCCAGACCGGGCATCCCTGAAATCAATACAGGTAAGCAAAAGTACATGGAGATAAATTTGATTATTTAGATGGATAACTGAATTTATCCATAAATCATAATAATGAGGGATTCTATATGTCAGATTCCAAGACTTTCATGGTCCAGAGGTTGGAGTTCCCCTACCCTTCATATTAAAAGTCTCCAGAGGAAAGGTTTTAAGATGCCTCAGAGAAGTGTCCCCATATGTGGCTGTTTCGACAGATTATAATTGCATGCGCCTCATAGTGAGTTCTCCTTGTTTTAAATTTTCTGCCTTTTTGTATTGCAAAGCAATATCTAGATGGGTAAAATCACAGTACATTTAGTGCCTAATGATTTTTTTCTTTCTTTTTCATTTTTACAATAGCAGTGATTCTTTTCAGACCATCAAACGCACAAACATAACCCTAGAAACCTGAGCAAATGTGCAGTGATTTCTTGCTGTTTTTATGTGCAATCTTGGAAGCCAGACTTCCTCATTTGCATTTCAAAAATGGCGTGCAATGTATCGGGCACTCAATTTTACAATCTACAAGGAATAACCTTGCTTAGAATATGTAATCTACAGAATCTGGATTAGTAATGAAATTCAAGAATCATGATCAGATTAAAGATTGATTTTTATCTTTATTAATAGAACAAAAGGAATCAAAACCTAGAGCTAATTCAGAACTTTTGACTGTTTTACGTTATGTCCCTTTAGCATCGGGAAAGAAGTTTTTTGAAGGTGACATCATTTTGCCGGTATGTTTGTTTGATCTAATTCTTTGGCAAAATTTATAACATGATGTATGCTTTAAAGCATATTTTTCAATTTTTCTTTACAGCTAGACAAAAATGCCCTGAGGAACAGCTCCTACCGATGGAACATTCCAGTTCCCTACATAATGGGGAATACCATTGGTAACTATGTTACTGTACATATACTCTGGAACCTTTTCGGCTACAAATTGAAACATGTTTCCACATGTTGATGGTCATGCTTGCTGAAACATTTTGGGTATTTTAATATCCCTCCCCCCCACAAAAAAGCCTTTCTAAGTTTCAGAGAACTCCAGCAGTGGGTGTGTTGAGCAAAAGTATATACAACAAACCATCCCCTCTCCTGTTTTCTACAGCTTCTGGAAAAGCAATTGTCTCACATGCCTCTCTACCAGCATCTGGCATTGTGCCATTACAGATCATAGCCCCCCCCTTCCTACTGTCAACACTTGCCACCCTTTGTAAAGCAAATTTGGCTATGCAAACTAGCCAGGGCTGCTTTAATCAGAGAGGAGCAGGGGAGAGGAAGATAGGGTTAGGGTGGAGGTGGGGGAACTTGTGGCAGCTTCTTGTATCAGACAGTGGGAGACTTAGGGCTACCACTAATTCCCACCACCACCACTGCCTCCCCACTGAAGTTGGCATTGTTTCCCTCTTCTGCTGCTCCTTGCTTTTAGTCGGTGGCCTCAGCCACCATCATCTCACTGCTTGCCCTCTGCTCCAAGAAGTGAAAAGGTACACAGAGACATATTTTAAAACTGCTTCCCACAATGCATTTTCTACTCAACCTAGGTAGAAAATAAATTGTGGGAAGTAGTTTTACAATAAGTATACAATGTATTTTATAATCAGTTATTTACCTGAAGTACCCAGTGTGGTGTACTGGAAAGAGTGATAGAACAGAACTCAGGGGACCGGGATCTGTGTTATAATTTTTTTTTATACAGTGATGCTTCGCATAGCGATCGCTCCGTTTTTGGACGAAATTGCTTTGCGATGATGTTTTTGCCATTGCAAAAGCGATCGCTTTGCGATGTACCCTATGGGGAAAATTCACTTTGTGATGATCGCAGGGAAGCGATCATCACAAAGCCCCCATTTTTGGCCAGCTGATCAGCGGTTCCAAAATGGCCACCGGGTAAACAAAATGGCCACCGGCTGTGTTGCCTCGCTTTAGAGGCACCGAAAATGGCTGCCCCTATGGAGGATTTTCATTTAAGGTTAGTTTTGAAGCCCATAGAAACACATTAATGGTGTTTTAATGTGTTTCTATGGGCTTTTTAATATCGCTTAGCGATGAAATCGCTTAGCAGCGATTTTTGCTGCACAGATTAACATCGCTAAGTGAGGTACCAGTGTATTTGTGTTGTATGTTGTAAGCTGCCTAGAGTGGTCGCAATGACAAGATATAAATAGAATATAAATAGAATAAATAAATTAAATAAATAAATCTGAATCCCTGCTTCAGCCATGTAAACTCACTTAGGTTTTGGAATTGGTAAAACCACTCCTTATATATCTCACTTATTTTGGAAGCCCTACTAGCATTGTTATAAGATGGCTCCAATTTGAGAACACATCATATAACATATTTACTTGGATAGCTCAAAATAAAGTTTGCTGTGCTATGTTTTGTCTCTATCCTCATTTTCATTCAGAATTTATCTGTTGGGTATATAATACTGCTTCTCTCTTTCAGACTTGAATACTAAGGGTGTTATCCTGCAGGCGTTTGAGATGTTTCGACTCAAATCTTGCATTGACTTCAAACCCTATGAAGGAGAAAAGTCCTATCTCCTCTTTGAAAAGTTGGATGGGTAAATTCAGTGACTATATAGCCAATGCCATGATGCATAACAATATCAAATAGTTTAATTAGAGACTGTATGTGTGTATCATATATGCACATGAACACTGTGTTCCTTTTTCAGTGCTTTTTTGAATCCTCTTATAAAGCCTTATTTTATGTGCTAACTCAGTGCTAGCTCGCCTTGACAGAACTCTTGGGCCTGTTTGCCCATGACTGTTTTCTTTGAGATGGCTTACGTTTTAATACATTTACTACACTGACAGTGTAATGTAGTACTTCACTCATTATACGAGGCACCACTGTACTTGCCTTAACTTGTGGCAATTTGTCACCAAACGTTATACTGTTTGTGTTACACTGACAAGCATGACAAGGTCCAGATTCCTATGGTTTGTGTAACTTGCCGCAGCTAATTGTGGCTAATTGACAATGAGCCAGGGCATATCTGGGTTTCCCAGCTGATGCATGATATTGATCGATTGATTGATCGATTGATTGATTGATTGCATTGCATTATCTGGAGAAACTGAGCAAGATCATTTATATGTGTATGACGTGCCTAGAAGTTTTCAAGAAGGGTTTTCTTCTTCTTCTTTTTCTATTTGGGCAGAATATACTTTTGTATTGCTTGGGCTTCATTAAAATAATATCAACATCCAGAAATAAAATAATCATTCAAGATGGAAAACAAAAAGAAATCAAATAGCCGGAGGGAAGGCTTGGCTAAACAGCCATGTTTTTAATTGGCTTTTAAAGACATCCAGCAAAGGGGCCATATGGAAAATTGGTTTTTAAGGACATTCAGCAAAGGGGCCATACGGATCTCTGAAAATACGTTGTTCCACAACCGAGGAGCCACCGCCGAGAAGGCCCGTTTTCTTGTTTTTTCCTTCCAGGCCTCTCTCGGCTTTAGGCCCCTCAGCTGCACCTCCAGACTAGATTGAGTGACTGAGATATGCCCTGGCATGCCATCAAATAGCAAAGGATGCAGTCCTTAGGCGAACACCCACAAATTTCTGATCAATAGGATGTGGACTAATATGGGGAATGCATTTCTTTATTCTCCATGTTTTAATACATTTAGCAAATGCAATTTACAAATTATACACAATGAATAACAGTAAGTATCAGTATTTAAAACTATTTAAACAGTATCAGTATTTAAAACTACTTATTTTAAAAATAAATGTCCTTTAATCATAATTAAATAATAAATTCTGGCTGTAATCCAGTTGCCATATTGTGCAAGGCTGATGATATCATCACTGGCAGCAATTTTTCAGAAGTTAAGCGTTTCTAACTTCTCTCCCAAGGCTGCTGTGTAATCCTGTTCATCAAAGAGAAGCCATGGGGCAGAAGGACAAATCTTTAATTAGTGCTGCCACCAAGATGGATTACTGGCAGTGGCCATTTTTGGTAATTGAAATGTTCCCACATTCACCCTGTAGCCTCCACAGCTTGCTGGTGACGAAAGGGATTACACAGCACCCTCAGGAGCTTCGGGGAAGATATCCAAAACGTTTAATTTCTGAAAAATTGCCACTGCTTCTGACATCATTAGACTCATGAAGTACAGTATAAGTTATGGCAACAGGATTTCAGCTGGTACGTGACCTGTATTTAAACAGTAAATACTGCTTAAGTAGGATTTAAAGCTTTTTTCACATGGATGTGCATATGTGCTTGTCTACACATAAATATGGAGAGAATTGTGCAGTCATGCACCCAGCTTTTTGCCGTTTGAAGAAGGGCTGGCAAAGCTCTTCAGGAACACTGGGAGTGGAAGTGAAGATTGCTGGGGGGGGTGACTTGAAAGTCAGAGCCAGGGGCCTTGAGCCTCTACCCATTAAGAGCACCTGGATATCAGTCCAAACAGGTGCATATCACTTGGGCACAGCCTTTCCCCCAAAAAGGAACAGTATTACCCTTCTATTTAAATTCTTAAATTATGCCTTTATTTATTTTTTATTTTATTTTATTTATTTGTATCCCACCCATCTTATCTTACTTTTAATTTGGATGCCCGCATTTTATCTTGGACCTATTCCCTGCCTCCTTTGAGTTGGAGTCCTTCCTATTTTTTTCAATAATAAATCCGTGACCATCCTAGATGCAAGTATCCTGTTATGTGCTAGAATGTTATATAAGCTGGATCTGGGCCTCTTGTTGTTTAATAGATGCTGGTCTTACGTTGGCGACTTTCAGTCTGGCCAGACGGTTTCTATTGGAGAGCGTTGCGAATATAAAGATACCGTGGAGCATGAAATCCTGCATGCACTGGGGTTTTATCACGAACAGTCACGTGCTGACCGAGATGACTACGTTAACATTTGGTGGGAGGAAATTATTCCAGGTAAGCGTTTAATTGTGAGAGAATTGGAAAAGAAAAGAAAAAATGGTGGGAAAGGTACAGGGCAAACTGCTTTTACCAGCACTCCAGCAGCAGGAAGGAAGGTGCTGTGTTAGGATCAGATGAAGTACAGTGGTGCCCCGCATAACGGGCACCCCATTTAACGACAAATCCGCATAGTGATGTTTTTTTGCGATCGTTTTTGCAATCGCTTTGCAATGTTTTAAATGGTGAAACATCGCTTTGTGATGATTGGTCAGCTGTTTCGTTTACCAATTTTCGCATAGTGATGTTTCCCTAACAGCTGATCAGTGGTTCCAAAATGGCCGTCGGGTAAAACAAATGGCCGCCCGCAGTGTTTTCGCGCCCATTCCTCGCTTACCGGGCAGCGAAAATGGCAGCCGTAGGGAGGATTTTCGCATAACGGTGAGTTTTTTGCCCACAGGAACGCATTAAACGTGTTTTGATGCATTCCTATGAGCTTTTTGGTTCTGCATAGCGACGAATCCATATAGCGACGATTTTTCCGGAACAGATTATCTTCGCTATGTGGGGCACCACTTCTGTTCTTGGCAATGCACCCCTCCTGCCCCCTCTTTTTTTAAAACAAAGATATGCAGATGAATCTTACCTGGCAGTTTATAGTAAAATAAGACTGGAGGAGCCAATAGCGAGGAGGGATGCCCTTGCCCTCGTCTAATGCTGTCATTGCTGAAGCTTTGGGACAAGCCAAGAGGGTGCAGGCTGGCAGGTCCCTGCTTTGCCCCAGCCCGCAACCATTTCAAGGATGCTGAAAGCGACTCTCTAGTTTTCTTGCCTAAAAGTACATGTTTAAGGCTGAAAATTTCTCTTCCCTAGTTCTTAGAAAGAGGGTCTCAGGGTACTTGACAGCATATCTTAATGTTGCCACCACGGTTGTTGGGAGAGGCAGGACAAAGGGAGCACTTGCTTCCTCCAGATAATATATTTACTTACAGTTTTAAAGGACATGAACTGAAACACAGTGTTGTTGTGTGTACTACATGTGCAAACGGCGCTGAAACACCACTGCTTGAAAAGATTCCTGCAGATGCTCTTTGTTAGAAAAGGTTAATGAAAGGTACTTTTACTGGGGGGTATTAAGGGGGAAAATTGTATTGCTTTTGTTTTAGGGTGTTTTGGGGGAGGAACTCTTCTGCTGGTTTTGGCTTCTCTTGGATACAGGTCCTTTCTGTAAACCTGAATATTCTGCGTTCTTCCATTTTGTTTTTTCCATTCTGCTGTTTGACACAGCCAATTAAAGCAAAGCAAAGTGTGCTGCTTATCTACCTCCCCATAGTGCTTAAATCCCTCTCTGCGTGGTTTCCAATTTAATTATGCAGGCTACACTTTGTGTCTCCACCCCACCCCCCTACCCCCTAACAAGCTGGGTACTCAATTTACCAACCTTGGAAGGGTGGAAGGTTGAAGCAACTTCAAAGCATCTATTTGAGCTTGGGATCAAACTCAGGTTGTAAGTTGAGACCCCTCAAAATTAGTCCAAAACAAACAAACAAACAAAGGAGGGATAAGATGACAGGCAATAATCCTCTCCCGAATGGGTGACAACAACAAATCCTTAGAAAGAAAAATAGATAATATCTAGAATTATGCAGCCACTAATTTATCATTACAACACTATCCTCACCATACTCATCAATTCATCATCAGGGAACAATGCAGATGAGAAAAAGAAAGCATCATCATGGTCGTAATCAAAATAAAAGACACATTCAGTCAGAACAAATATAATAAACCCTTCCCAACCTCAGACATCAACATATGGTAGATTGGGGAGACAGGTCTCAAGAGCTTTGATAGCTTCAGTCCAACGGCATTAATTAATGTATTTATTAATACATTGATATACAGTGGTGGCTCAACTTACGAACATCCCGACTTACGACCATTTAGAGTTACGACCAGCTCCAGCCACAAAATTTTGCTTTAACTTGCAGCCAGAACTTTCAGTTACAACCCGAAAAAAGGCAGGGAAAGAGGTGAGGAATTCAAACTGCTAACTGTTGGTGGTGAAGAGGCTGCTTCTTTGTAGCTCTTTCGCCCCAGCAGTTAGAGAGTGTGTGATCGAAGGAGGCTTTGGACTGCCTGGTAAAGTGCTGCTTTCTAAAGACTGCCTGTTCTGGGTGGGTTTTGCAGTGTGGTTTTGGGCTGAGAGGGTTATGTTTCTGTACTGTGATGGGTCTTGCAGTCTTTGTTTTTGGGGGACTTTTTTCACGTTTCCGATGGGTCTTGCAGGGTTTGTTTGTTTTTTGGAGGTTTTTCCCCATTTCTGATGGGTCTTGCGGGGTTTGTTTGCTTTTTGGTTTTTTCCCCCCATTTCCGATGGGTCTTGCAGGTTTTTTTGCTTTTTGGGTCCCCCCCCCATTTCCAATGATTCTTGTAGTCTTTGTTTGCTTTTTGGTGTTCCCCCCCCCCTTCGGCCGGAATGGATTAATCGCGTTTCCAGTGGGTCTTACAGTGGTTTTTAATTTATTTTTTAATTTTTTTGTGATTGTTTTTTGGCCAGAACGGATTAATGGGGTTTCAATGCATTCTTATGGGAAATGGTGCTTCGATTTGCGACCATTTCGAGTTATAACCATCTTCCGGAACAGATTCAGTTTGTAAGTCGAGGCACCACTGTATCAGGAACAAGGTTCTCTCAAAGTTGCATGACTCTGGCCTCCCCAGCATTCTTCCTTCCCCACAGCACCCACAGCAATCATTTCCAGAACCCTTTTGTTCCAGTTGCAACAGAACCCTGAGCAGGGGGTTGGTCTTGCACGCGCAGAAGGGCAGACCTGCACACGGGGAGGAGAGGGGCTGAAAATTAGAGAACATTGATCCAGAAGGGGGTTCTGTTTAGAAAAATGTCCTCTGTTGCACTGGCTGCTCCTGCAGAAATGCATTCCACAAAATGGACTTGGCATATATGCACAGAAATACTGGTGATCACCCACTCCCCGTGACATTGGCATACCAATGCTTCAATGTATCTTTTTGTAGAATAAAAATAAATAAATTACTTGCCAGGCATGTAATGGCGGCACCCACCTGGTGACATACTGCCTTGGGTAATACTTGATTGCCTTGACACATTTGAGTTTGGATTCAGGCTGTGACAGGTACTAAGATGAAGTTGGTCATGCTGCAGGATGATGCTTTAATGGAAGCTGACAGGGGCAGATCCACCCTGTTGGTACTCCACCATCTCTCAGCAGCTTTTGATGCCATCAACCACATTATCTTCCTGGACAGGATCTCTGAGCTTGTGGGTCTAGCATTGAACTGGCTCTGAACCTTCCTCAAGGACCCTTTGGTATCAATTTCCTCAGGGATCAGCATCCCCATTGCTATTTAATATTTATATTAAGCTGTTGGGGGAGATCATCAAGAGTTTTGGAGTAAGGTGTCATCAGTATACTGATGATACACAACTCTACCTGACCATTACCACTTCTGCAGGGGTCCATCCAGACGCTGGAGCATTGCCTGGTTGCAGTACTGTAATGTGCCATCTGGATTTTTAGAGTTATTGCTATTGGTTTTAATTTTTCTGTTTTTGTTTTCTATTTTATGAACCCTCAACCCACCCAGCGTAGTACTGTGACACTAATGGTAGTGGAATGCAAAGTGAATAAATAAGTAATAAACAAATAAACATATTGATGTATTGGGCGCAATAAACATTTTTAAAAATAAGCACACTGCAGTAATGGCAGTCACCTTCCTGGCTTTGATTATGAAAAATAGCGGGGCAGGTCATGCACACAGCCGGTAAGGGATGCACCGGTACAACAAAGGTACAAAATAACACAAACCTCCTGGCGATGGGGAAATGTTCCACAGTTATGCCGCTGACCAGGAAAATATCTCAACCTTGACTGTGCATTGTATGACCAGGAAAAAAAAAAAGAAACAAACTAACTGAGGGATAATTAGAGAATATTTCCCCTTTGTGAATAGGACCTTACAGTAGATTGAGAAAGAATGCTGTAGAACTCAAAAGTTCGTCATGTTTGTGTCATTGTCATTTTGCTATAAAGATATGACTCAGGTTCTGCTTATGGAGGACCTAGCTTTTGAGTCGGTTTGTTTTTCTTTTCTTTCTTTTCTTGAAAGTCAGTGTAATTAATATAGTGATGAAGTACTTGTGATGAACAACTGGCTCTGAGAAAAATCTTATTGCTTCATTCTGCACTAGCTGAAGGTTCTGGATCCTTCAAGGGTTTCCTGTGAAAAGTCTAATAAGATTTTACTTCATACAAGCATCTGAAGACTTGGGCTACAATCCAGGAAAGATAAAATAATTTAGTCTTTAAATTGCCTCAGAACTCTTTTTTTATTTCTGTTACAATGAGCTACAAACTAATATAACTATGCCTCTGAACATCCATTTAAAGCTTTTAGCTGTAATTTTGAACTCGAATGGTTATAACAGGCCAGGTATGTCTTCTCTGGTAATGGGTACAGTTGATCATTACTAATCTATCTGTACAATGATCTCCTTGGTGCAAAGATCTCTGATAATGATTCAGAACTGCCACCACCTGTCTGAAACAGAGAGAAAAATATACAGTGGTGGAACACATTAATCTCACCTTTCTCTCCCATCTTCAGATCATTGAAAAGGAAGATGTTCAATGATCTGAGGGACAAGACTCAACCACATGGGACACTGTGTCCTAGCTCAGTGATCTCCAACCTTGGGCCTCCAGATGAGGGACAAGACCCAACCACATGGGACACTGTGTCCTAGGTGGCTGAGCTATACACCCTAATCCATTATAAATGTTTGTTTTTACACTGTAACATATTTTTCCCTATCCATTTTCAAAATAATGAAAGTACTGTTAGCTTCAGACTTCCTTAATAACTTAGGTATAATTTGTTCCTAGGTCAAGAGCATAACTTCAACAAATACAATGATAATATTATTTCTGATCTAAACACTCCGTATGATTACGAATCTGTCATGCATTACGGACCTTATTCATTCAATATAAATAGTAGTGTCCCTACAGTTACAACTAAAATCCCAGAATTCAATGAAGTGATTGGGCGAAGCCAGGATTTAAGCAGGATAGATCTACAAAGACTTAATCACATGTACAACTGTGGTAAGTTGCTATTTTATTTGTGCCCTGAAAATCTGCTTAGACTTGTAGAAACTATTCCACTTTATGGAAAGGTAGTTTTTAATCATTCTATTGGATCTCAGCTGTCTCTCCTCAGCTTTACATGTCCTGTTATTCCAAGTATAGCCAAGGCTAGATGGAAAATAAGGAAATTGCAATGGCCACACTTGGCCCAAATGATTACGCCATTTGTTCACTGTCATCAGATTTTCCACCACACTCCCACTCCATTCAGTGGGAGAGGATATTAAGACCATTCATGTCAAGAACCTAAGTCTTCTCCACGTTCCAAGGAGATGGGTACCTCAGCTGTAGTACCAATGGATTCTCCATAAGGATTCTCCAGAATCCTTCAAGAATGATGAATCTCTAGCAGAGGATTCTGTTAATATTCCGGCACAGCTGTGAATAGATAAGGCCATGCTGAGACCTAAATTCAGCTAGGAAATTATTTGAGCCTAATGGCATTGAAAAATCTCCCAATCTTGGATCACCTAAGCAGTGGTGACAGCCAAATCTGGAGTATGCCCACAGTATATTTTGTGAGTAATCCATAAACAAGTACAGCTTGTATGTAGTTACCCATTCATATTCCTACCTAGGCTGCTCCACCTGATCCATCTGAATGGCTGATAACATTGTGAAGCGTAATTGTGGTTGTCAAGGAGTCCTGAACTGCCCCTCACAAGGTCTTCCTTGGTATGAGTGCTGAGTTTCTCCACACCAAACAGCCCTAGGGCATTTTCTACACCAGTCAGAAACTGCTTTCGCAATGTGTGGGAGGGATATGTTAAGCAACACAATGTCATGCTTTTGTTTTGTTTAAAAACAATTATTTTCATGTCACATATTTTTGTGTACCCTACAGCTTCTAGTCTTACTCTACTTGACCAGTGTTCTTTTGAGGCCATTAATGTCTGTGGCATGCTGCAAGGCGTGAATGATGATGCAGACTGGCAACACACCCTGATTTCTACGGGTCGTCAAAGGAACAATGTGGTGGGCCACTGTGCAGGTAGAGCATTGGTGGTAGTTTTAATAGAGCTAATGCTGAGGAAAATTACAATGCTTGGAGAATATATAGAAGTCAATTTGCCATTTGCCAAGTTAATTTTTTGTTGGGGCATTGATTTCACTTGGCCAGATTAGAGCAGTCACCGACTGAAACAAATGGAACTCCTACCCTAAATTTATCTAAAGCTTTTATTGTTGAGGCACCAGCAAAAAAAGCACCAAAAAAAGGAAACTGTTCTGTTTATATACCACCCCATCTCTGAGTGGTTTATAATGAGCTAGGTATTCATTTTACCAACTTTAGAAGGATGGAAGGCTGAGTCAATGTCGTAAGTGTTAGAGCAGTACGACAGTAGAACCAGTTACTGTACCTTGAGAGTTGGTGAGTGCTCCAACACTGGAGGCATTCAAGGAAAACTTAGATAATCACCTGGAAGATATGCTTTGATTGTATTCCTGCATTGAGCAGGGGGTTGGACTTGATGGCCTTGTAGGCCCCTTCCAACTTCACTTTTCTATGATTCTATGATTCTATGACCTAGTGACACATGGCTTCCTATACTTGATCTCATTAAAACAGCAGAAAGATAATTAAGCAATTAGTACACCTGGAAAATGTTGTGATATACTCATATTGAGCGTACAGATCACCATATGCAATATAGTTAGTATGCCGTTTGTAACCTGAAAATTACAGGGTGTGTTTTCCCTTGTTGAAAGCTTGATTTTTATTTTTAAAAAATTAGTTGGAAACTAAACCTGTGAAGTTTTTTGAGCCAAATGGTCAACTGCTTCTAGCTTTTTGTCTCACTAACTTTGAGCCTGTTTACACTTCACATTTACCTCACAATATGCTGCATTTTAAATGAAATTGATTTATAATCACATGACAGTCACATGGTATTAAAATAGCTCCCTGCGCTTCATTTAGAACACAGCGTAATGCAATGCAAATGAGAAGCTATGATGCCGAATCCCTCAGCTGGGAGATGGCTCCCTCTGATCAGCTCGTAAGCTGATTGGGGCAAAGCTCCTTTTAAAAAAATAATAACATTGCTATATGATATAGTGCTGTATCAGATAGAAGAAATTATTTTTTAAAAATAAAAATAACACAGCAACAGCAGGGGGCAAGTGGCTGTGAGACCCAGTGGGGGGGGCTCTTTAACATTAATGTGTACAGAGTCATTCACAAATGTGGAATGATTTTAACAAATCAATTCCACATCTGTATTTTAAAAAACATACCTTTGAGGACTAAAATTGCCTTGCTTCTGCACAGAAAAACCCAATTCCCTGTCAAATAAATCCACACTTGCTGATACGTTGTGTATTCCTCCCAAATTTAAATGGATTTAAAACATAAAACCAGTTTAAATGGGAGATATTTTAATAATGGGATCAGACTCTTTATTTTGCTTATTTGCACCACTTTGAAGTAGAATGGGCAACAAAATGAAAAGTTGTGTCATTAGTGATTACTTGGAACAACTAACTGTTTAGATGACTGTAAGAGCCTCAGGTTCAAAGACAAACCTTTTGCTTCTTTTTGGCAGAGAAAGGGTATTCTATGTATTTCAATACCTCAGAAGGGAATTCACTTGAATCAGCTGTTTTGGAGTCCCGTATCCTTTACCCAAGAAGGAATGAAAAATGCCTCCAGTTTTATTACAAATTTGATGGAAATCCACAAGATCAGCTTGTTGTCTGGATTAAAAGTGATGATGGAACTGGAACCGTTAGAAAGTCAGCCAAACTACAAACAATCTCTTGTAAGCTTTGGAGTTATTTGCTATTAGGCATTTAAGTTAATTCTAATTTCTTAAAATAATAATAATCATCAGATCTTTTCATTTCAAGAATCTGTCCAGTTTGGACGATAAAGCCAAGAATAACTTTCGAAAGACAATTCTATAAATGTCATATTGCAGTTATCATATAGGTTGTACTCTCATGTAGAACCATTCAGTTAAGTGTTGTGTTGTGACATGGACCTAAGATAAGCCTTAGTATTCAATAGTGTGGAACTACAGAAAGCTGACGATTCTTTCTATAATCTCAGTAGAAGATATCTATTGCGGCAAAGCATTTGCTTCCTGAGCAGGGTCAGTTTTACCATGGCTCCCTTCCCTAACTCACTGAAAGCCCATTTACAGCCCAGCAGTGAGGAGTACAGTGGCAGGGATAGGCCACTCCCCCATCCTTCCCCTTCCATGCCAATCTCACAGAAGCCAAGCTAAACCAACAGAGTCACAAGGTCCTGGCTGCCCAAACTGTACGTTATGGCTCTGCACACTGGGGGTTAGTGCTTGAGGGGTACCTATATCTTGTAATTCCATAGTCTAACTAGTGAAGAGACTGGAAGGGTGCTTCAGACAGCATTGCATCCATTTCCTTTATTGTGCACCATTTAGCTGTAACCAATAAAGCTGTGGCGAAATCTTCACCAATCAACCTGGCTGTTACATGACTTTCTTCAAGGACACTCTCTGCATGGGTAGACATGCTGCCTGAGCTGTAGTTTGCATGTTATGAAAGGGCAGCAGCTAGAATGATTCTCTATGCCTCTCAAAATGAAAGCAAAGGCCGTTGGTCAATTTGGGGTCTTGTAAGTTGGTGGGGCTTGCTATTCCATGCTTCATCCCATGCCATGCCTGCCACACTGGTATATTTAACTTGGATCCCAATTTTGTCCAAGGAAAATGCCATAATGTTTTCCATGCATCCCACTCCAACCCATCCTTTGCACACAAATAAAAGTTGAAATGGTAGGGTAAAAGGAAAGCTGTATGTCACATTTGACAGAGTCCTTTGCTGAGAGGAGGTAGGCTCTGATCTAGCTCTCTGGCTTGCTCAAGCCACATGTTTATGTTTGCATGTCTAGTCTGCGGTCTAGCTCAGTGGTTCCAGACCTGGGGACCCCAAATGTTCTTGGACCAAAACTCCCAGAAGCCTTCACCACTAACTGTGCTGGCCAGGATTTCTGAGAGTTGTAGTCCAAGAACATCTAGGGATCCAAGGTTACGAACTGTATTCCAAAGACTCCATCCACAGGTTCAGTGGCTTGCAGCTTGCTTGCTGAATGATTGATTGATTGATTGATTTATTTATTGATTGATTCATTGGTTGATTGATTGGTTGATTGATTGTTTGATTGATTGATTGATTGATTGATTGAAACATTACTGGTGAGTCCAAATAAGGGGCATTGAGCACTGAAGATCTTGAGCAGTGTCAGATTTTGCCTTTCTCTTTTTATAGCTGATGGAGAAAAACACTGGAACTTAGCGAGCATTCCTTTCAATAGCCAGACCAAATTCCGCTATGTCTTTCAAGGCATTAAGGGAGACCCACCCAGCTCTACTGGGGGAATTAATATTGATGACATCACTCTGACTGAAACACGATGCCCAGCTAGCATCTGGCAGATAAGAAATTTTACCTCCCTTTTTAATAATACCTCCAAAGGAGATTATGTGGCAAGCCCAATATTCTACAGCTCAGAGGGCTACTGCTTCGTGTTGAAACTCTATCCCCATGGTCCAGTCAGCTCAACGACTGAAAACTACTTGGGGATCATGTTTGCCCTGTGTAGTGGCCAGAATGATGGTGTTCTAGAATGGCCAGCTGTGAACAGGCAAGTGACATTCATCATTGTTGATCAGGATCCTGATGTGACTCAAAGGATGTCATCAAGCAGGAGCTTTGTCACGGACTCTAACCAGCAGAACAGTAAGTCTACATTAAATAATGCCATGATGCAGCATATTATGCTTTGCATTATGGCTCCAGTTTCTGGGGATGAGTTAGTAAAGGGGGCAGAGTGGAAAATTTCTATGTATATTGAGCTCCATTGGGAAATATTGCCTTGTTGCCCTAATACAGCAGAATACTAGGCTGTATGTGGCCATCCGGGGAAAATGAACTATCTGTTCTTTATACAGTATGTTATCTGCGGAAATAGACTTTATGCACTGCAGACAAATGGCAGTTCCCAAACCTTAACAGTTTATACCATATGAATGCTTCCAATTGCTTCATCATATTATTATTATTATTATTATTTGAAATACTCAAGGTGTTTAAGAGGAGACTTTGGAAAAATTGCTTTTTTAGACTACAGCTCCCTCAGCTCTGACTTGTAGATGTAGTCCATAAATGTTACTTTCCCAGGCTCTGATAGATTGTATAGGACTGTACCCCCTGGCTTCTTATACTGATAGAATGGTACAAAATAGCAACAAATGAAGCAAAAAGTCTTGTCCTTTTGCCATATGAAAATGTGCCTCAAAGAAGCAGGCTTTTGAAAACCATGTTTCATATGGTTTAACACGTCTCCTGCAGCAAGGCTGTCTCACATGCTGAAAGTCTGCCTCTCCTATCTGCACGGTGTTGGCCTGTTAGTACTTATGCAAAACCTATTTGCTAAACTTCATGTATTATGTACTCATCTTTGAACACTGAACCCTCACATAAATGGTAGAGGTTAATCCCAAGGCCCATGCTTAATGTAAAAAGTCACTACTTACTTACTTACTTACTTACTTACTTACTTACTTACTTACTTACTTACTTACTTACTTACTTACTGTTTCATTTTATTCCATTTTTGCACAACAGATAACACACTCATTTGGGATAACCCATTGACTACTGGGTCATTTGATCCTCTCTATGACCGCTTTGTAGGCCCAATGTTTGGCTGGAGATATATCCTTCCGTATGATCAATTGCTTCGGAGGCATTTCTTGAAAAATGATGGTCTGATCATCTTTACAGATTTTGAAGGTAGATGGTTATGTTTTTATCAGCATTTTATTCAGCTCTGGTTAGAAAGTGAAGGAAAACTAGGAAAACTCAAATTGGTTGGGGAATGTACAAGATATAGTCCAATTTGATTTTAATCATAATTTAGAACTGCAGTTATCTGTAATTTATTTCCCCTCTTAGGTTTGGACATTAAGGAAAATTTGTGGGCGTCAGTAAATACAATCTCATTAAAAGACTAACACTAAAACTTGAAAGGTCTTCAAATGAATATTTTACTCTGGAAAAAAATGCCTCACTTAATAGGCATTGTGTAGCAATGAAATGTACAGTTTTTTTTTTAAAAAAATCAGATGCTAGAATCCTGTTATATACATACACTGGCATAAGTCAAACACAAAATTAGAACAGTGAATGGCTGGTAGTTTAAAGAATCAAACTTGGTATTCCTCGTTGTGTACTAGTAATGGCATGTGATGAGGAATAAAAGCGTGGACCCCTTGAGGACCTTTCGTCTTTAAGGGCTAGCCTCTTAATAGAATCTGGAGCTGATGTTCAGTGGCTAGCAGTTTGGGGGCTGCACCCGCCCAAAAAAAAAAAGAACTGCTAAAAAGCCTTTCTCCCTTTCATTAATCTTATTACAGAAAATATTAGTTAGGGATTGTTTAGGCATGACAGAGTCACAGAGCTGTGGTTCTTTGATGCCGAGACAGTCCCTAACTCTACAGCATATAATGGAAAATAACAATAATCAATAAGATCTCTGTCTGAAGACTTCTTTATCCAATTAAGGCAGTTAGGTTACAAACAATCATTTTAAACAAAAATAAAAATAAGAAACGATGAGCGTAGTCATGCCATCCACGTGTTCCCCAGTTATCCCCCAGTTACATCAGAACATAAATTTCCAGTCACACGATGCACAGCCATTAGCAAATCATTTTACAAGCCAGTGATGTTACTGCAGAACATGTCCCCCTCACCATAAGGTTTCCAGGTTTGTTGTTGTTGTTGTTTTTCCTGTGGCATGCCAGGCCCTCCTGTCTTCCATTGCCTCCCTTAGTTGGGTCAATGTCACAGCTCTGTGACAATATATATATTGACCCAACTCTGGGAAACAGTGGAAGACAGGAGGGCCTGGCCTGCTTAGGTCTATTGGGTCACCCACACACACACACACACACCTCTATTTAAAGCACAAGCACTCCACCTACTGTCTGGCAAGCAGCACAGCGCTGGTGAAGGGTGCTGGGTCCATTGAGTGCAATGCATTGCTTCCAGAGGTGCCTGTGCATTCTACCCATCAGGAAAAAATATAAGACATATCTATGTATTGTTCAATTTTTTAAAAATTAAGGTTGGGCCCCCCCGTAAAACAAGATAGAAAATAAAGTGGTACCATGGTATAACCAGCCATAATGATTCAAATGGGAGGAAATGAACCAGTAATGTTTAAAACACATTGGGACACTCATCCAGGTATATATATCTGTATATATATCATGTGACCACGAAGCAGAACAAGAAAGGAATAAAAAGTTTCATTACTAGAGGGGGATGTTTAATCAGTAATACCTTTAAACCAACATAGCGCAGCCACTGCAAAGCTGGGAAACCAATGACGAAGCCATGCCACAAATTCAGTGGTTCAATTTTTTAAAAAAAGTGGTTACAAAAATATCTTGTGGACTCTCCCTCCCATTTCAACATGTACTGTAGTTATGTTCCTTTCCTTATGCAGACAAGTATAATAAATAAAAGTAAATAAGTAAAAAAAAAGTAAATAAAAATGCACAACACATCTTTATTTCCTTTTTTTTTTAAATTGCAGTTGTTGAAGATCCAGGCAGTGTTCTGTAAGATCTGTGACCATAACTCTGTGGAGTTTTTCACAAGCAAGTAGTCACCTCCTGCAATTTCTTGAACAATTTTCAGAATGATTTAGTTCACAGCTGGATGCTTACTCTTTTACACCATTAAAAAGAAAAGAAAATTGAGAACAATAAATACATATGTGGCACCAAAAAAGTTTCATGTGTTGTTCTTCTGTGTATTAAAGAGTGTACAACCCATATATTAACCACTTCTTGTAGTCATAATTACACACTGCATGGTCCTGAAATGGTCCACTTGAATTATAAATATTCTGGATAGAAACATTTTTTCTATCTAGCAAATAATACCAATCATAAATGCCTTAGAGATGGATAAATTTGGACATGGGACTAATTGATTCCCTTCATACCTGTCACAGACTGCACCAAGCCACAAAAAGCCAACTGCCAAATAAAAACAAACAAAAGTAAAACTAGAAGATCTTGAGACAGCAGTTCAGGATTTGCTTTAGGTACACCTATGTTGTTTACTTGTGTTCAGCAGAGTCACCTCACCATACTGTAGGTGCTTGGGTTGTCAGTCGTGGTGCACACCTATAAAAACATATGAAACGATTAGAACAAAAAATAACTTTGTTGAGGGAAAAAAGCATTTGCTTTTGCTGAGAAAGTTACATTTAAGATTGTTATTGTTTGGTCATTTAGTCATGTCCAACTCTTCATGACCCCATGGACCAGAGCACACCAGGCCCTCCTGTCTTCCACTGCCTCCCAGAGCTGGGTCAAATTCAAGTTGGTGGCTTCAGTGACACTGTCCAACTATCTCATCCTCTGTTGTCCCCTTCTCCCCTTGCCTTCACACTTTCCCAACATCAGGGTCTTTTCCAGGGAGTCTTCTCTTCTCATAAGATGGCCAAAGTATTGGAGCCTCAGCTTCAGGATCTGTCATTCTAGTGAGCACTCGGAGTTGATTTCCTTCAGAATGGATAGGTTTGTCCTCCTTGCAGTCCAGGGGACTCTCAAGAGTCTCCTCCAGCACCACAATTCAAAAGCATCAATTCTTCAGCAGTCAGCCTTCTTTATGGTCCAGCTCTCACTTCCATACATCGCTACTGGAAAAACCATAGCTTTGACTATGCGGACCTTTGTCAAGAAGGTGATGTCTCTGGTTTTTAAGATGCTGTTGAGATTTGTCATCACTTCTTCCCAAGAAGCAGTTGTCTTTTAATTTCGTGGCTGCTGTCACCATCCACAGTGATCATGGAGTGCAAGAAAGTAAAATCTGTCACTGCCTCTATAACTTCCCCTTCTATTTGCCAGGAGGTGATGGGACCAGTGGCCATGATCTTAGTTTTTTTGATGTTGAGTTTCAGGCCGTTTTTTGCGCTCTCCTCTTTCACCCTCATTAAGAGGTTCTTTAATTCCTCCTCACTTTCTGCCATCAGAGTGGTATCATCTGCATATCGGAGGTTGTTGATATTTCTTCCGGCAGTCTTAATTCTGGCTTGGGATTCATGCAGTTGAGCCTTTTGCATGATGTATTCTGCATATAAGCTAAATAAGCAGGGAGACAATATATAGCCTTGTTGTACTCCTTTCCCAATTTTGAACCAATCAGTTGTTCCATATCCACTTCTAACTCTTGCTTCCTGTCCCACATATAGATTTCTCAGGAGATAGATAAGGTGGTGAGGCACTCCCATTTCTTTAAGGACTTGCCAAAGTTTGTTGTGGTCTACACAGTCAAAGGCTTTTGCTTAGTCAATGAAGCAGAAGTAGATGTTTTTCTGGAACCTAGTGCTCTTCAATATTGTTATCAATGAACTGGATGAGGGTACACAGGGAATACTAAACAAATTTGTGAATGACACAAAATTGGATGGAATAGCTAACACTCTGGAAGACAGAAACAAAATTCAAAATGATCTAGAAAGGCTTGAGCAATGGGTTGAAAACAACAGAATGAAAATCAAGAGGAAAAAGTGCAAAGTACTGCACCTAGGAAAATGAAACTACACAGTTACAAGATGGAGGATTCCGGGCTGAAGCAATACTACAAGAGAGAAGGATATTGGAGTCATTGTAGATCACAAGCTAAATATGAGCCAACAGTGTGATGTGGCTACAAAAAAGGCAATGTTAGGTATTTTAGGCTGTGTTAACAGGTATATAGTCTCCAGATCCTGAGAGGTACTAGTTCCCCTGGTTAAGTTTCATCCTAAGTATTGTGTACACTTCACGAAGGATGCCAAAAAACTGGAACAAGTTCATACAAGAGCAACTGGGATGATCAGGGTTTTGGAAACCAAGCCCTATGAGCGAAAACTGAAAGAATTAAGCATGTTTAGCCTTGAGAAAAGAAGACTGAGGGGAAATATGATACCATTTTTCACATACATGAAACACTGTCATATAGAGGAGGGGCAGGATCTACAGTGGTGCCTCGTATAACGAGCGCCCTGTTCAACAAAGAAATCGCATAGCGATGGCTTTTTTGCCATCGCTTTTGCGATCGCACTACGATCTTGCCTATGGGGAAAAATCGCTTTGCGATTTTTCCCCATAGGCACCATTTTCCCCCAGCTGAGCGGCGGGAGCTTTGCAGCCCCGCTGTTCAGCTGGGGGAAAATGTCGGCTTTCTCAGAACAAAAAAAATCACTGCTCTTGGAGGTCTCCAGAGAAGGAAATCCTCCCTCCCTCCCTCCCACACACACACACACACACACCTCTCTGTGTGTGATTGCTTTGTTGGCTCTAGGGTGGTGTAGCGAACAGCCCTGCCCTCACCTGTCCATCACAGTAGAACAGTGAAGAAGGAGCCAATGAGTGGACAGAGAGGCAGAGCCAAGGGGGGAGGGGGCTGGATATAAAGGCTGGTGTACGGAGTACGAAGGGAGTTTTCTAGTAGAGAGAGTCTGTGTGAAACTTAAAAGTGAACTAAGAGTGAGTTAGAGATCTGTAAGAACAATGAATAGAACAGAGAGATAAAAGAGTTTAGAAGTTGTAACTTATTTGGTTCAAATATAAATGATTAACAGCCTGTTATTTATCTATTGAATATTAACCAGATATTAGCTTCCCTGATCTAATAAATGACTTAAGTTTTAAAAGCACACAAGACTCCATGATTAAATGGTATTAAAGCAGTAATACCTGGTGGTAGCAAAGAAGGAAGAAGAGCGAGAACTTTGTGAAGACCTGGGGGGATAGGGACTTCAGAGGAAATCACCACAAAGTGGTGACCAGCGGCAGGATCTGATTTAATCCAGTAACGCCTAGAAACAGAAAGGTTCCCAGAGCAGAAAAATATATTTTAGTCAGGGGATCTGAAGTGAATGGACTGGGTAATTTCCTAGAGCTTTTCAGGGGGAAAAGCTTAGTAGGAAGCCTCCTAAACTCAGATCACGGGGGGCTAAAATAGGGACAGGCTCTGAGGAAACCATTTCTGGAAGGAGTTTACCTCAAGCAGAGAAGGGCCAGTTGGCTAGTTTGTCCTGAGCTCAAAGGACAGAGTTCTGAGGGGACTAAGCAGAGGCCAAGGTCAGAGAAGCTGAGGTGACTCAAATCAGTAAAAACTGGAAAGAATTAAAGATGATATTTCTGTTTATTGCGTGCCTAGGGGCAGGGAGACACTGTCTCGGGAAAAAGGCCTGGCTGGGAGCCAGAGGTCTAAACACAGTATCTCAGTGAATATTGGCAGGGAAGCAACTTTATTACAGAGACTAACTCACTGGGGAAGAAAAGAGAGAAAAGTGGACGTTTTAAATTTGAGGCTTGTAAAATTGAAGCAGAAGCCCAAATAAGTAAACATGCCTTCCACGTGGGGGAAAAGGGTGGCAAAGATGCCTCCTGAGGTTGGAGATGCTTCAGATCAAGAGAAGGAAATCTTGGAAGAATTACCTCAGGGGGAGAAATGGAGACTTCAAGGGGGGAAGCTTCTATAGAATTCCAAAAATGGAAATTAGAAAAAGAGCAAGAAAGGGTATTCAAGCTTAGACAGCTAGACGTAGACTTAGAAATGGAAAAGGAGACCCTGAGAAAACATGCATGGCCATATTGGAAAGGCAGAGGGGTGACCTATCGAAAGCTAAATAGATTGAGACGTATATAAGTGATTAACAGCCTGTGATTTATCTATTGAATATTAATCAGATATTAACTTCCCTGATCTAATAAATGACTTAAGTTTTAAAAGCACACAAGACTCCATGATTAAATGGTATTAAAGCAGTAATACCTGGTGGTAGCAAAGAAGGAAGAAGAGCGAGAACTTTGTGAAGACCTGGGGGGATAGGGACTTCAGAGGAAATCACCACAAAGTGGTGACCAGCGGCAGGATCTGATTTAATCCAGTAACGCCTAGAAACAGAAAGGTTCCCAGAGCAGAAAAATATATTTTAGTCAGGGGATCTGAAGTGGAAGGAGTGGGTAACTTCCTAGAGCTTTTCTGGGGGGGGAAGCTTAGTAGGAAGGCTCCTAAGCTCAGATCGCGAGCGGCTAAAATAGGGACAGGCTCTGAGGAAACCATTTCTGGAAGGAGTTTACCTCAAGCAGAGAAGGGCCAGTTGGCTAGTTTGTCCTGAGCTCAAAGGACAGTTCTGAGGGGACTAAGTGGAGGCCAAAGGTTAGAGAAGCTGAGGTGACTCAAATCAGCAAAAACTGGAAAGAAAAAGGGAGTGTTGCCACCAACATGGTCCGAAGCGGTAATCTCTCTCATACATAAGGAAAACACAGAGGGTAAAGAAATCAAAAACTCCAATCTCATTACTAAACATGGATTGCAAAATATATCTAACCATGTTGGCAACTAGATTGAAAAGAATCTTAATACAGACAATACATCCAGACCAATCGGGTTTTCTTCCAAAAAGGGAGATGAAAAATAATATAAGGATAATCTTAAATACCTTGGAATACTATGAAGCTCACCAGGAAAAGCAAATGGCTGTGATATTCTTGGATACAGAGAAAGCTTTTGATAATCTGAATTGGAATTTTATGCTATAGCAATTGGAAGTACTACAAGTTGAATAAAGATTTTTGAAATTAATTAAAGCTATCTATACCCAGCAAAAGGCAAAAGTTAGAATCAATGGAGAGCTGATGAAAGAAATACAAATACAGAAGAGGTACAAGACAGGGGTGCCCAGTCTCTCCATTACTATTCATTCTTACTCTAGAAATATCAACTAGCAAATTAGAGATAAAAAGGAAATAAAAGGACTGAAAGGAAGAGGTCATACTTTTAAGCTCCAAGCTTTTTCAGATGATCTAGTTATTATACTGGAGGATCCAATGGACTCAATTGAAGACCTGATGGAGATGCTGATGAATTTTTGTGATATGGCAGGAATGAAAATAAACCAAAAGAAAACAAAAATACTTGTTAAAAATATGAGAGATCAAGAACAACAGAAATTAACAGAAAGGACTAACTTTCAAGAAGAGAAGAGAGTCAGATATTTAGGGACCCAAATCATAAAGAAAATGAGTACATTATTCAAAGACAAATATATGAAGTTGATTAAAGAGATACAGATTAGCTTGGAGAGATGGGACAAATTACAG